ACGAAGCATACGCCTATAAAATCCTAACCAATGGTTGGGTGACACGCGAGTGGTAACCTTCATCGGCCACAGCTCTTTGAAGCACCAACACTTGGTATGAAATAAAGAATTACAATCCTGAAAGATGACCAGGACGAAGCGGGCAGTATCAATCCTGAGGATGACCATGACGAAGCGGGCAGTATCACACCCGTGGAAGAATTAAGCATTCAAGCAACAATCCCTACCGGCCACAGCATTCCGGATGGCCGTTACAGGCACTGAAACCCAGGCTGTTGGCCAAGCGGAAGATTTGTCCAAGTGTTTACCAAACACTTAGAGAAAATTCCTGAGGAAAAAGGTTCCTTAAGAGAATTCCGACACTTAGAGAAACTCTTGGGGAAGGCAAAAGGCACCCTCATCGGCCACAAAGCCAGACCTTGGCCGATGAAGGTAGGGCCATCTCTTAGCCGACAACGGTACCACAAAGAAGGAACTATGTCCTGCATTTATACTTAGAAAAATCTCTAAGTATTTAAATGAAGAAACTCTAGACGAAGCGGGCACCTGTATACTCGCAGGCCGTTAGCTACCTGTGTCTTGCATGTGTACTTAGAAAAATTTCTATGTTCAAAAAATTAAGTTCAAGGTACCCTTATCGGCCACAACACAAGGATCCAGGCCGACCTCCCTGATCAGATCAGGAACAAGGGAACACAACGGCCACGAAAACCACTGGGCCGACAACAACGACATTGGTTCAACACTTAGGGAATTTCCCAAAGCATTTGCCAACACTGAGGAGAGATTCAATACCAGGACGATGAGAACACCCATCCACTTGACGTTGGACACTTAGAAAAATTCTAACAAAAAGAAGAATGGGACAATGCCAAGACGCAGCGGACACCCCAGCTTGCCCGCCTCAGTCAGGACGGAAAGAAAGCACCTAAGTGGATCTAAAACACTTAGGAAATTTTTGAATAAATCCCAAGTGTTACGACAGCGAAGAAACACCGGACAGGACGACAAGGCCACCAGACTGAATGGACTACCTCACGGACGTAGCAAACACTCGCGGGTGACCTAAGTTGTAACTTAACACTTAGACAAATTTCAAAAGTGAAATAGCAAAAGAGAATAAACATACAAGACATTCAAAGCCGAGCAGGACAGCAAAACGTTCATTCATAAACAGTTAAGTACATTGGTGGGCGCTTCGGCCATTACATCACATGGGCAGAAATAAAAGGTAACTAATTACAAGATAGGGAACGGGGAGTAGCCGATCAAGTCTCTTGGGCGCCTCCATCATGCCCAGCCTGGGTTTGATCTCCGGCATCTTCGGTTCCCTCCTCGGCCTCAGTCTCCTGGTCGGCGGCAGCTGCAGAACTGGTGGCATCATCCAGGAAATCAAACTCGTCATAGTCCGGCTCGCCGAGGCCGGAACTCTCGATTGGGGCCTCCCTCTCCGAAAGCGGAAGCTTGGCCTGCTCCTCGGGATCCTTCATCACCTTGGGAAGCCTCAGGTTTCGCCTCGCCCACCCGGAGGTATAATTCATTGCTTTAAGGGCACGCGCCAGCCGCCGGCACAGGAGCCTCTGCATCCGTTCTTGGCCCATGTTGTAGTACACAGCCATCTCCCTTCCAAAGTACTCTTGGCCGGCAGGGGAGTTCATTCCCCAATCTTCGAGCTTGGCGGCCACCACTTCATAGCACCAGGGGAGCCGCTCGTCGGCCTTCCATCCCTCGGCTAGGAACTTTTGAACGGCCTCATCAGCGGCCTTCACAGCGGCAACCTCGGCCTCAATTTTGGCCTTCACGGCTTCATCATTCTTGCGCCGCTCAGCCTCAAGCGCCCTCTGGCTCTCCTCAAGTTTGGCCAGGGCATCGTCCCTGGCTGCAGCTGCCTCATCGGCCCTCTTTTGCAGAGCCTTCGCATCCTCTCGGAGCCGATCCAAGCAGGCCACCGCCTCATCGGCCGAGGCAGCCTTTTGCTCGAGCTCCTTCAGACGAGCAATCTCCCGTTGCTGCCTTTTGTGGCTCTCCATGAGCATGAAGGCACCCTGCACAACAAACGCAAACAAAGACTCAGGCAATGACTTCACCCGGACGACGAGAAAAACAACAAATAAAAGGAAAGGGAACTTACTTGGACGATGAAGTCCATCCCGCCTTCGTACACCTTGACGTCCTCGAGCCTCTTGAGGTAGGCCCGATCTTTGGCCGGCATGGCCTGGGCAAGCACGTCATGGCCGAGGACGCCATCGTCAAAGACACCCCCGCCAACGGGGTACTCCACCATTTTTTGGTAGGTGGCAGCGGCAATCTCCTTGCCAGCCCGCTTCGTCCGAGGCTCCTGGACGAGAGGGAGCGATTGGGCAGCGTCGTTTGGAGCAGCGGTAAGATCCACAACGGGACCACCATCGTCCACATTTGGGACGGTCAGAGTGCCGACCTCATCGACATGGGAAGGAGACGGCGCCCTCTTCGTCTTCTTAGCGAGATTCAGGCCAGCCTCGGTCAGTTTCTTCTGGCCGTCAGTGGGAGGCCTCTTCTTCTTGGACTGGGCAGGCTTCAGGGCCGCACCAGCAGTAGCCCCGCCCCCCTCGGTCGTGGCACGCCTCGCCGCCTTGGCCTTGGCTATGGCCATGATCGAACGGCGATCCATCACAAAGTCTACACAAAGGAAAATAAACAGGTTAGCAAAATGAAGAAACCTGGTCTACATGGTCCGTCGGCCTGGGTGCTCTAACCCTCCCGAACGGCCCCACGTACATCTGGGCAACTAAGTAGTCAGCCGCGCTGCTCTCCGGCTTGATCAGGTAAATATTTGTGAGATCCAGGTAGGAGACGTCTGGCCCACTCTTCGGCCTCCTTACTCTCTTCGGCTTCTCTGCTCCCTTCACGACAGACACCGGTCTCGGGCACGAAATAGCAGCAGAAGTGGACGCCCCGTCCACCACTCGGGACGCACCTGCGTCCTCACCTTTTGAAGACGAGGCGGACTCCTCGTCCTCACCTTCGTCGTCCACCGGCTCTCCGGACTTGTAAGGACTTAAACGCTCTATCTCTTCCTCGAACTCCTCAAGCACCTCATAGTCGAGGGACCTAGTGGAGGGCTGGTCGTCGTACGGATAGTATTCCCCGTCTAAGCTCTTCATCATAACAACTATTACGAGCCTAAGGGGAATTACTTCGGATCTAAGGCATTTTGTCCACTAACACTAGATCAAGGCTCAGGGAAGCAAAGTATGCAAAGGAATTGAAGAAACAAGTCAAGAACTAACCTTGAAGGTATGAAGAACTCGAAGAACACCTTGAAGACTCTCTCTCTCTAGAAATTCGGGCAACACTTCGATATCTCAAGAATGCAAGTAAGGAACCGCTTCGGAGGAGGGGGGGGGGGGTATTTGTAGACAATCTCCAACGGTGACTACACGTGGCACCATATCAATGGCCACCTCAACGGTCACCTTCCCAGCAGCCGATGAGGTGCCACCCCTTCAGAAATGGTCCGGGCTCGTGAACCAACTTATCGGCGGAGTAAAAGCCTACGGATCACACGGACAACGAGCACCCACAACGGCCTATATGCTTGCCGGCTTCACAAATGCTAGCAAAGCGCCCACAACGGCCTATACGCTTGCCGGCTTCACAAATGCGAGCAATAAGGAGACGACAACGGCCAGGAACGTCATGAACGCCGGTAACGGCCAGAGAACCAAAGGAACAAAGAACCTGCAGCCATCGACTCTTCGTAACGACCCTTGATGATAACTCTTTACAAGCGATCTGCGCACAAGGGTTCTCCCACAGGGTTACCTTGGCCAGAAAATCGCCATAAGGGTTGGATTCAGGGGCACTACGGAGAGGCCGCTTCGGCCAGGGACTCAAGCAACTCCTTCACCCCTCACTCTCTTCGGCCTGAAGCAGTGGGGGACTGGGGGACTACATCGGCCTCAACAAAACAGAAAGGAAAAATGCAAAGAACACAAATGTAACCACAAAGCATGGCCACATCGTCCATGTATCACACTGCGCCTCGTCTGTCAAAGGCACATAACATCATCAGCAACGGCCAACTGGCCACCTAAGGCAAGGGCATTCATCGTCCTCCGCCAACAGTTAATCATAATGGGCTCTTCGGCCAAGAACACGAAAGCCAATCAGCGGCGACCAAAAGGAGTGCGCAAGCACCCTCATCGGCCACCCAAAGGAAAGGACGCCCATCGTCCTCGAAGCAAGGTTCAACCCCAACGGCCTCATCGGCCCAAATGTAAATCTCAACCATCAACGTCCAAGAAAGGGAAAACGCGCCTTCAACGGCCACCATCGAAGCAGGACACTCATCGTCTCCAAACGAACACACCAAGGAAACAACGACCCCCCGTCCACAACGAGGAGCAGGTAACGGCCAAAGCACGGAACAAGATCACCGAAATGGAGACAACGTCAACACCGCAACAACTAACGGCCTGGGAGTGCCCGCATCGGCCAAAAGCACCAAAGCGCGGGAATCTACTCTCCTCACTTCGTCTACGTCTCAGCTTAGAGAGTGGGGGACTCCTGATGGAGTATATGGGTCTGAGCCCCCGGACCCACATACTCAGAAGAACAGAAAGCACAAGACACTGAGTGGCGCCCTCGTCGGCCATGGGACCCCCGTCGGCCGAAAAGGTACCAACTCAGAATATGGCCCTGAAGCCAAGGAACCCGGGTTCCCTCGTCGGTCGCGCCCTCGTCGGCTGTGCCCTCTTCGGCCACGCCCTCGTTGGCCACGAAGACCTCACAGAACCGGATTTTACACTTACTCATTTGTACAGCCCATTAGTGGCTTTGTATTCGGCCCAGTAGCGGTCCAATTGTAAATGGGCCTCCCAAGCCCAAGGCTTGGGAGCCCAGCCCGTATTTTCTCTATAAATACTCCCCTTGGGAGTAGTTATAGGGATTACAAATTCATTCTATTGAAGCATATTATTGCACTTCTCTCTCTAGATATACTCTATCACCTATCCATAGAAAATACTCTGGCCCCTCTCGCAACCTCCCATCTCGTGAAATCTTCCCCAACCTTCATTGTCTTCTCCATTATGCGCCATCAGCCCAACCGCTAACCATCAGCCTTCATCATCTTCTCCATCAGCCCTAACCATCAGCCTTCATCGCCTTCTCCATTATGCGCCATCAACAATAGCCTCTAACCACCGGCCTTCATCGTCTTCTCCATTATGTGCCATCACCGACAGCCGCTAACCACCAGCCTTCCTCATCTTTTCAATGCTCAATATTTATGCTGTTAGATTCTAGATTCGCTCAATTAGTTTTTCGATTCACAGGTTACTCTTGGAGTCTTCTTGGACCGTTTCTCTAATTCTTCTCTATTTTTACCGTTCTCAGGTTCTTCTAAGACCCGGCCAGTTAATCACCAGGTTTAACATCTTTTTTTAATCGACATATGTACTTCTCTTATGCCTAATTCTTATTTTTTTAGTTTGATTTAGGTTCTGAAATTAGTGAATGGCTATTTGCGATTGATTAATAAGGGGTTGAAGTGAAGAATTGTTATTTAATGATTGAACTTAACACTTCATATATGCATACTATGAAATATTAAATGTTAATTTGGTATCATTTATATAAGAAAAATGTCTGCAGCCTGCACCTGTACATACAATATATAGTTTGCATTGATTGTGTTTTGATTTAGAGGATATTTTGATTTGAAAGTTAGAGACCTAAGAGCTGCACTCTGCCTTGTCTAGGTTTGAACACTCACTTTCGGCTTGCCTCCGGTCACAAAGCCAGGTTTTGCAAAATGTTAATCATGTTGCACCTACTATATGTGATAATACTGTTGCGCCTGTGATTGAAAAATTTAAAGGTGCAGCCCCTGTGCTTGGCAAAGTTAATGTTAACGGAGTCACAACGTTATGTGATTCTGATAGGAACCCACTTATTAGACTAGTAATAGTAGTAATAATAATAATAGTAATAATAAAGGTCTCGGAGTATTCTAGTATAAATAGATGGGAAGGGGAGTTAGTAAGGAGGCTGTTTAGACTTTTGTCTTGTACTGGGAAGTTAGAGACTAATACTCTCTCTCTTTGGGGGCTTCGGCCATTGTTACTGTTCTTGACTCAATAAAGATTCTTGATAAATTTCTGTAAATTTCTCTGTTCTGGTGTTTGGTTCTATCAGAACAATTTAAAGGTGCAGCCCCTGTGCTTGGCAAAGTTAATGTTAACGGAGTCACAACGTTATGTGATTCCCATTCTGGTGTTTCTAAGACCTGTCTGGTAGTACCAGATTTTTGCCCCACAGTTACGGATTTTGTTAATCATATTGCCCCTACTATCTGTGATAATACTTCTGTCCTTGTGATTGAAAACTTTACTGCTGCAGCCCAGCCTTGTGCAGTTGTGCTTGACAAAGTTAATTTTAATGGTGTCACAACATTATGTGATTCCCATTCTGATGCTTCCATGACCTGTCTGGTAGTACCATTTTTTTGCCCCACAGTTACGAACTCTACTACTCCTTTAAATGTGGACATGAGTGATGTGTGAGGCCAACTCCGAAGTTACAAATGATGCCTCTGTTGGTGCCCAGACAGCAGCTTGTCCCCCTATTACTGATGATATTGCATTTGAAGCCTGTCAAGATTTTTTGCCCTCAAAATTATTACAGTGCAATGTTATTGATTATGCTCTGAGTGATTTTGATATTCCAGATGCTGGTGCCTCTCTTGGTACCCTTAGTGCCCCTTTTTGCCCTGCTTTTGATGCTCAGGCAGGCTATGACACTCTTTTAACTGCTAATGATGCCCAGGAAGCCTCTATTACAGTACACCACTCATTATCCCTTAGCTCGTATCATTTTCAGTTTAGTTAGCACTATATTATTTATGTTGATATGCCTAGGTTAAGAGCATATTTCTAATGATATCCTTTTCCTGAGTATGAGTTCTGTTTGCCTTTAAAATTCGTGAGGTTGTTTTTTGTACATCTGATAAAGCTCGGTTGAAAGTAAGTTACATTTACTACTGAATTACAATTCTTGTGAGTATGAATATATGTAGACATTATTGCTATCAATAAAGTACAGAGTATTGAACATGTAAAGTTGTATTTTATGAATGATATGATTTGTATGATTCTATTTCAAAGATATGTTCTCCATGTACATAATAGCTCCTCTTTGCGGTGAGAAGATTTAGAACGTTCATGTGAACAAGTTAAACATTTCATCTCGCAAGCAAATGAGAAATAGACATCTATATTCTATTTGTTAATGCTCTTTTAAGATAACATATACATTGACTACATTTTTTTCATATTACAGCTATTAAATCTCAAGAGTTATGGTCAATTTAGACTACACAATTTAACTTGGTGTGACTAACACAAGTAAAGAAGCAATAAGCTGGACTCTACCTTCTTTAAATGAAAATAAAATAGCGGTGATGATAAGTTTTGTAAAACCAATGTTAAGTTTTTATTTTGGTGTTGCTTTAGTTTTCCACGGTCAGTGAGTACTCTGAAGATGATATTCTGCAAATACGTGAGAAACGAGTCTCATATGCAGCGAACCTACTCAATGAGTAAGCTGAAATTTTATTTATTGAGATAAGTGTGTTAAGAATGTAGTTTTCACTAATTAGGATTGTCTGTAGTATGATGATTGAAATAGTTATCGTTATTATTTTTACAGACTTCAGTGACGAATGTGATGAACAGTGCTAGCTGGATTTTTGCTAAGCTCGTATGCATTATGGCGGTTAAACAAATGGCTGGAAGGACATAACATTTGGATGCTTGTGATGTACTTTATGTGTTTCCAGAACCTATGTAATGACTACTTTATGTTTACAGCCCTATGTAGCTAGACTAGAACTCAAGAATATTGGTATTTTGGATTTTGCTTTGTTTCCAAGAACAAGTTAACCTGTCTTTGAATTTTCATGTTGACTTTGATTTGAATCTAAATGACAATTAGTTAGTTATGGGATACTTTGATTATGAATTTGTTTTATATTTATCTACAAGCTTGAAAATTAAACTTTTAGGTGGGTATGGTGGTGCAAAAAAAATATTAAAATTGTTCAATAATTGATACTATAGTATCATAAATCTGGATGGCGCAAGAGTATCATAGGTTTTTGTAACATTAGTGATAACACTAATTTATATGATATCAAAGTGTCATTAAGTATACCAATGCAAATGTATCACTATATTTTATGATACTAACGTGTCACAATTTATTGACACTTTTTAGTGACACATTTTTTAGTGTCAGAGTTCCAACCATTCGTTGACACTTTCTTGGTGTCACTAAAACTTTTATTGACACTAATTTAGTGTCACTGTAGACCATTTTTCTACTAGTGGGGCCAATTAGCTCAATACATATAATCCCTAGATACACTTTCTATCTATAACGAATGCACATTAAAGTAATTTCCTTCAACATGTATTACAAATTAAATAGATAATCGGAGAGGAATAAAGTTTCTAACCTAAAACTCGTTAATTTACTTTCACACAAAAAAGATAATATGCATCCCATTAGAAACACTCAATAAACATATTTAATTATAGTCCATTTATCAGTTTTATCAATCAATTTTTTTATCAAATACATAACTTATTATTTTGCGTGTTAAACTGTGTAATAATCAAAATAAGTAAGTTTAGAATTATTTTAAATACAATTTTACATAATTCAACCACTTCAGCTAGAATTTTATGAATTTCAGCAGATTCAACCAATTTGATCAATTTTAGTGTCAGAAGCGGACTCTTAGTCTATTTGTGACTATGGCCTCTACGGTTCACCTTGTGAAAGAGAGAATCTTAAGATACCTTGAAGGAATTGTAGATCATAGAATTTTTTACGAGGGAAATGGTTTCAGTCGATCTTTTCACTTATAATGATAGGGATCTAACAGAAAGTATTGATGATAGCAGAAACGATTTTGGATATGTATTTCATCTTGGTAACAATGCAATTTCATGAAGAAACTAACAACCGTTGTGCTTTCTGCTATGGAAGATATATATATCGCTGGATCTTATGTCACATGTCATTTGATTTGGTTGCAAGAAATTTTGAAAAGTTTGAACCAGACAAAACATAAGTCTGCCATTTAGTTTTGTGACAACCATTCAAGAATACAGTTCAAGAATTTCAATTACGAAAGATACAGTTCTTCATGGGGGAAGACAAATAAAAGTTATAAAACATATTCGCATCAGATATCATTTTGTTGAGAGAGGTTAATTAATTGTATATGAAGGAGAAACTCAAGTTGAGTGTAGGAATGAAGATTAAATGACATTGAAAGTTTAATTTAAGGGAGGCATTGCTGCCTTCAGGGACGGATCCAGGATTTCGAGTCAAGGGGGGCGAAAATTTTCGTTAGTGTAGGAGATAAAAAAAATCACTAGTGTAACAGGGCAATTTTTTTTTTCTGGTGTAGCGGGCGAAATTTTTCACTAGTGTAAGGCTGCGACTATTTTTTTTCAAAAAAAATTCATTAATACATACATGACGACATTTAAATATATATATATTACATTCTAAGTTTAGACAATGACAAAATAACTTAAATTTTATAATTGTAGTGCTCTAGAAAAAAGTATTGATACATTAAAGCATAAGAAATGACAAATCAATGAAAAATGGTAAAAAAATAAAAAAAATGATATATAACATTTTATTTAAATATAAAGAGTTTATAAGGTACACATTCACCACTACTTTTAAAATAACTTCAACATTGTTTAACTACATGAGTGTTCATAAGTCACAAACAGTTCTTTTAATATTACAATAGTATTTATGATATTATTATTTTTAGAATAATATTATATTGCTAATTCATATACATAGTGCATATTATATTTGTATTAATGCTAAAATAATTAAAGTTTATTATCTATGCAATAAAGTCTTTTTTAGAACGTAAGAAGTAAGTGAATAATGTAATTCAATGTCAATAAACATTTATAATTTGGATTACACTTCACATTATCTAAAATCTTTGTAGCTAGAGTGTCTGGTATTTAATATCGTTTGATATATATTTTTCAAAATTGTTTACTAGTTATCGAATAAAGATAATTAAACATTACAAAACTAAGAATTTTTATATAATAAGTATCCTAAATCTCAAATAATGACTTCTTCTATTGTTTATTTAAGTTATGTAAATTATTTTAGATGATCCTTTTTATATCTCCAATTAAGTATTACATTATGTAAGACTATATATTAATTTTAAAAACTAAAAGTTAAGGGGGGCAATATTCAACAAAAAGTTAAGGGGGGCGAATCTAATTAAAGTATCAAAATTTTACAAAAACATTACATATATAGTAGAAAATTTTGAAAGTCCAAGGGGGGCGGTCGCCCCCCCTTAAATCCATCCCTGACTGCCTTTGCTAGATATTAATTAAACTACACTTGGAAATAATAAATTAAATGTACTTTGATATTCCTTGTAGGTTTCTAGGTTTATTCATTACGCAAAAAATATGAAAAGTCTTTTATGACTTCTAGATTAACAATTACCTAAGAATTTAAAAGCTTTAAAAATGAAGGGTTAGATCTTTGAAAAAAGAACTCATCATATAAATAGCTCATCCATTCCCTTGTATAGTGTAGTAGTGTGATGAATTGAAGTAAATAAACATAAATTTAGAAACGAGCATGGAAACCAGCAACAATTTAGAAACTACAAACAACCCTACAATCAGCAACAATATGGGCACTACGGGCATGAAAACCAGCAGCAGTTTAGAAACTACAATCAGCCTCACGCATATCAGGCCCCGCCTCAAGAACATCAGTTTCTTCAACAAAGTCAAAGGAAGGAGGCGGAACATAGGATGCCTGAATGACAGCAAGCCCACATCCTCTTGGAAGAGACACTCAGGAAGTTCATGCAAACAAATGCAACAAGTCTTCAGAACCTGGAGAATCAAGTGAATTAGCTCGCAAAGGCCCAACCGGAGAGGCCTATGGGATCCTTCCCAAGTAACACTGAGAATAATCCAAGAGAGCATGTTCATGACATCACTCTAGGGAGCGGAAGGGAGGTTGAGCCAGTTGCACCTAAGAATAAGCCCGAAGAAGTTGGACCTGTTGAAGCTGGCCAAGAAAAAACGAAAGAGAAAGAAGAGAATAGAGAGGTGGCGACAACCCCAAAACAACCTATTATAGTCCAAGCTTAATGCCCACCTCTCCCCTTTCTGGAACGCTTAATAAGAAAGAGTGATAGTGGTCAGTTTGGGAAGTTTTTGAACCTCATCAAACAAGTTAAATTAACTTATCATTCATGGAGGCGCTATCACAACTGCCAAATTATGCCAAGTTTATGAGAGAACTGCTAGCAAACAAAACAAAGTGGGGGGAACCAGCATCAGTGGTGCTGAATGAGGAGTGCTCATTGACTGATTTAGGTGCAAGGATCCGAGTAAGTTTACTATCCCTTGTTTCATAGGAGATTTGATTTTTAATAAGACATTGGCTGATTTAGGTGCAAGCATTTACTATCCCTTATATGAGAAGCTTGCACTAGGTCCACGTAAATCAACACATATGTGCGTACAACTCGCTGACCAATCAGTCAAATATCCCTAGAGAATTGCTGAAGACGTGTTGTTTAAAGTACGTGGACACGTTCTTAATTCATGTTGATTTCATTGTCTTGGATATGCTCCAAGATCTTGAGGTGCCCTTAATTTTTGGCAGGCTTATTTTGGCCATTGCTCGAGCCCTCATAGATTTTGGGGAATGGAACTATTGTCTGTGAGCCGCACAACTATTGTCTGTGTGGTAATTATTGTCTGTGCACACATGCACTGCACATATATAGATTGATTTACAAGCTGGTGTCAGTTTCAGACGGCTGTCATTGTACTTTTTACACGAAAGTAAATGTTTGTGTATACAGACAACTTTTGTCTGTGCTCACAGGCAACTCCGTACCATTGTTTGTGATCGACATTTTGTGTACAATTCAAGTTGTGTACAACTTGTGTACTCCTAGCATTTGTGAATACATAAAGTATACTTTGAAAAAGTGGCAAACGCAAGATGGTGTGAGTTACACGTACGCCATTTTTTGTGGGATTTGAAAATAAGGTGCTCTAGAATATACTTTTATCTAGTCATTATGTGGTTTCTCGTGTCCCATAAAAAATGTTTGTGGATCTGTACGTATCATACTATAATCATGGAGAGAAAATATCAAAATCTCACTTTTAGATTAGGATCATTATTAGGAGACTTTGGTTAAAGCAGTTCGATTTTGACCGAAAGAAAAATACTACTTATCGAATTCAAATCATTAAAAAGTTGTGTTCCATAACTTTTATATGGAATCTCCCGTTCCGGAGCCCACCGCACTCCCACCTAACATGGCACATTGGCACGTGAGAGATGTAAATCATGATGACTCAGTCGGCGAAGTGACAATATGCTCATATACTCGTGCGTGTCAGAGGTCCAATCCAATTCAGAAGTCGTAACCTCCACACGATCGCTGCGGGATTCAAACTTTGGTCTCTTGATTCAAATTTTCCACCACCCAACCAACTGAACTACCCATGCGGGTAACAAGCTTTTTGTATATATGTCATAAGCTATTGCATAAAAATATGTTATCGAATTTCTAATTGGGAAAATCGCAATTAACCCCTGAGGTTATGTCATAATTATTGATGCAACATTGGATTTTCAAAAAATAATTACTTAACCCTTGAGTTTTTATTATTCTCACTGTTTGCCCTCCCACGTTAAATTTAATGAAAGTTGTCTATAAAATTAATTTTTAAAGTAAAATACAATTCAATATCATAATTATAAGTCATTGTTGTTGATCACTATTTTTTTACTTATCTACTCGATCATAGAATAAATATTAATGAATGTAGTTAAGAGAGTAGACTCACGAGTAAGATGTAAAATATCACGATTTTTTATCTTATTTAATTTTAATAAATAAATATCTTTTA